GTTTTGCTCCTGAACAAAGACCTCCTTAAAATGTTGTAAAATTAGCTCATGCACTTGATGTCGAGTGATGCCAAAGGCCTTCATTATCTTTGAGAGACACAATCCTTTTCCTATTCCTCTTTTTTGTTGCCCATGCATGGAAGAAGCTAGTGTTGAGATCCCCTTCTGATTTCTATTTTTGTTTGGCCCTTTGTTTCCAGTACTCGGATTGAAATTTTAATAAAGAATCAAGATTGCGGCGGGTAGAAACAATTTGTTCTTCATTGGTTAAAAGCCCTTCTCCTTTTTGTAACTTCTCTAGATGATTTTCAAGGAAGGTAATGTTTTTGTCAATCTGATCAAAGGACTGTTTACTCTAACTTGCCAACAAACTCAGACTTCTATCCAAATTAGTGGATATGGAATCTTGTACTCTTGATGTCTGGGTATTTGATTCCTTCCAAACTTGATGAACAATTTCTTTTGTTGTGACTTTGTCCAAAACGCTTCAAACCTTGTTTCAAAGGACTTCTCCTGTTTTCATTCCTGGTTTTAACTATTAGAGGGCCATGGTCAGAAACTGTAATCGGCAAGTTAATGACAGTTGCCTGAGGAAAAATTGTAAACCAAGATTGGGAAGCAAAGGCTCGGTCCAATCTTTGGACGATTCTTTCTCTTCCCCTTTTGTTATTACACCAAATAAATCTGTTTTCCGTGTAAGGTACTTCAAAGAGGCCTGAATCATGTAGGCTATGTTATCCGGACTTGGGTACGCGTGTCCAGTACGACACGGGATCTAAGTGTCGGATTCATAAATTTAATAAGATTAGAATATGTGGGTATAGATTTAGACACGGGTACGAGTATGAAGATCTGATTCATCATGTGGTGTAATTCATATTTGCCATATGAAATTAAGTTTAAAGTCATAACTGTAAAAGTAGGAAATCTGAAATTATAAAGTAGGAAACCTGTAAGTTTAAAAAGGGCTATAATACATACCGGTTGAAAAATATTAGATTTTGATTGATATCTCTCAACTCTAATCTTATCTTAATATAAGCACTCCAAATTTCCGAAAACATATACTTAGCCGCAGTAAAATTAGACAAAATTTTTTTGTTCAACGAGTTGGATAAAAACAAGATTTACATCTTGAACTAATCCAATAAATCTATGAAATTATCAAAGAATCTTTTATGTGGACAAACATCCACCACATATTATAATAAGAAGAATAGTTTTATAATCCACCACATCATATTGCAGTCGAAAGTCTGAAATTGCAGCTTCAAATTACAGATCGACTTGACAGTCATCTTCTGATCTTCTGTCTTCTCCGACCATCCACTTTTTTCCCAAATCAATCTACTCTTCTTGATGGATGAGCCGAAAATTTGGGCGCCAAACATCTCCTCCCCCAACTTCTCTTTAGCGCCAATGTAACCCACCGCAAAGTCAACACACTTAATTCCGGTTGACCGTGTCCAGTTCAGATTTCATACCCGTGTCGGTGTCGACTCGTGTCGACAGAGGTATTATCCCATGAGAGGCCGAGTCCAGGTAACAGAGCATGTAGGAGGTTATTAAGAGGCTCCGCCCGTTTCTTATCAAAAGGCAGACCACCTTTTTTGTTAGTTGGGGTGATAATTTGGTTGAAGCATGAAATTTATGCTGTATAGCTACCAGCATCAGTAGATGTTCTTTCTGTAAGTCCCGAGACTCGTGTTTGAGAGAGATGTGCCATATTTTCTCACATAAAATGGAAAAATCAATTTTCATTAAAAAAGAAAAGAAAAAACAAAAAGTAGTTGTTTCATTATTCCATAAGTAAGTGTTTTTGGATAAGTGACGAGTAATACCCAATTACCCATTACAAATCTGAATATCAAAGTTTCGTTTCCAGCCCAATGTCACTGAGCCCATTGAGAGCCCAAATAGAATACCTAAAATCCCGTTCCCAAAACCCTAGTATTCCGGCTTACCTATCATAGAAATCGTCCTATTTATATACAACCCTACCCAGACGACTCTGCACTTCTTTTCCTCCTCTCTACAAAAATTTCTCTATCCCTGAGTTCCTCTGCTGTTGTTGAATAGTTGTAGGTTCTTATGTGTCTTTTCTAATTTTGATTTCTCTGTTGTGCCGTGATGAGGTATTTTTATGGACTAGAGTTTCTGATCTGGGATTTTAATCCCAGTTTGAAGAAATACCCTTGGCTGTCTGAGCACACAATCAAGTTGTTCTTTCTTCTGCCTTTTAGTTCAACTGCTGTTTCGCAATTCATTAAAGTTTTCGAATCTATGATTTGATATATGCTCTTTGTCAACAGATGTAAATTATTTAGTATGCTTTTTCGTCCATGGGCTTATGATGAAAATTTTAATAATCTTAGCGGATTTCTGTGAGATTTTTAATCAATGATCTCATTTGTTACACACACTGAAGCCCTCAAATCCCCAGTTATTTGAATATTTTTTATTCTACTTTTATTTGATTTTAGTTTTCAAACTTTTATGATTTTAGATTTTATTATGCTGTGATGAGGCAAAGCACCGTAGGGGTGTTTTAGGGTAGTGGAAATGGGGTTTCACAAGACCCTATTCCGTGAACCCGTTTAGTTAACGACTTCTCCTTCCACTGAGCATATATTTTTCGATTGTTTGGGTTTTTTTGGCTTTAATTTGGTTCATTTGTTTGTTGGGATGTGGCGTCCATTACCAATTCTGGGGGATATTTTCAGTTTCTCTTGGTATAATGGCTCGGGCGCAATATTAAAATTAAAGTGTGGTATATCCTGATTGATGGATATTTTTAAATGACATTAAATCCTGGAAACGCCACATAAAAATTTTTTAAAAGATATCTGACAGAGGGCCTAAAGTGAACCAATACTTAGTAAAATACTGGGGCGATTCCTGGCCTTTCTTTTCAGGTTCCAGCTTTATAGCACAACTTTAATTTGCTGGTCATATTTTCACCGTTTTATTGATATTGACTGGTTTTTAAATTTTGGCAGAATTTACTCTAAAAAATTATTAAATTTTTAAGCAAATGAAAGTATTTAACAATTGGATAAATGGCCCGTGCTTACCGAATCCCTGAAATAATAATGATAATAAAAAGGCTCTCTTATGAAGAGCATATAGTATTCCCACACTAAATTGTTAATGATCTATGTGAAGAGAAAAGAAAGTGATCAGATCGTATTGAATTTGAACCAAAAACTGAAGAGAGAAGAAAAAAGTGATCAGATCGCATTGAATTTGAACCAAAAACTAAATATCTTGAACCAAAAACTAAATATTTTATTGATTAATAAAAAAGGAAACCGAATTCAATAAAATCCATGCCTTTGGTGAGATTTCCTTGAAAACTCAAAATCCAGTGGATTGGGAAGAATTAAGGAAACTGGATACAGTAAATCTCCTTGGTCCAGTGATCTAGTCAGCAAAAAAATGTGTGAGAGGGTAGGAGGTGCCGAGGTGGTAGAAAACGTGAAAGAAAGTGTGGAGAGGGCATGAGGTTGTAGTGGTAATTAATTGGTGACATAATATACAGTTGTGGTAAAGGGAAACCAAGAACAATCTTACCACAGCAAAATGTTGAGATACGAGAATGGTGAAAGATCATTTGAAATGGAGTTTAAAATAATTGTATTTATGAAGGAAAGCCATTTATTGATGAACAACAAAACATAAGAGATTGATTTGGAGTGGTGCAAACAAAAGTGAGGTAGAGAGCTAACATGTGTCATTATAATTAATATTCTCTTCCGTTCTACAAAAATAATTTAATTTAATAAATAATTTTGTCCTAAAAAAATAATTCAGTTTGAAAAAAGTCAAAATTAAAACAGTTAAAATGACTTAGCTGCCCTTTTTTAATTCTATCCACGATTCCAAAATTTCCAATTCTATCTAATTCTAAAATTTTCCTTCGATCTGAAATAAGTCACCCAATTTTCCGGCGGCAACAGCGGAAGATGTCAAACGTAACCGACGAAGAAAAATCTAATGACGAAAGCCAATCGTAAACGATGTTCGTCGGTGACAAGGAAGCAGCGGCTTGAAAAAGTCTAAAGCAGTGGCGGCAGCCGCCGGCAGTGGTGGTGTGGCTGTTAGAGACCGTGGGAATTCGTATTCGCGTGTGTTCCGTCATCTTTTTCGGCAAATTTGCCCGGAGGCATTAAACGTCTAATTCTGCTAGGAGCCAGCCTTGATTTCACGGCCAGCGGCTAGGAGAGATGATGTTGATCATGAACAATAATGGGACCGGCGGCGGATGGAGGGGTTCCTTTGGAAACCCACGATTATGTTTTTTTTTTTTTTTAAGAAACATATTTAGTGTGGCCTAGTGACGGTTTAATTTTTATCAGGGGTAAAAAAGAGAGTTCCTAATGGCTAAAAAGAGTTATATCTTGACATGGTTGACCAAATTAAAAAAATTGTACATTTTAAAACTGGAATGTTTTTGTGAGACGGAGAAAATAGTACTTTTTTGGGCTGTTATATAATACTACTTTTTTTTTCAGTTTATAATTATATAACAAACTTTCAATTCCCTTTGTTCCATAATAATTAAAGATTTGTATCAAAACTAAATATTATCCAATAAATTGCTCATATTAACTGTTAAAATTATCAGTAGATTGTGTACTTATGAAAAGGAGGAGGAAAAATAAACCTTTAATGTACAAGTATTTCCTGTAAAGATGAGTTGAATTAACGAATAATGGTATGTACAAAAAAAAAAAAAAAAACTATTGCATCCAAAAGTAATTAAGGAATTTCACGTAATGATGTTATAGAACCTGTAGAAGGAAAATCGACCACATGGATGGCACTCTGTCCTCCTATTTAGAATCTCCCTCGGTAGAAGGTTGGTCAGAGGCGGTGTACAAGTGAGCAACTTCATATTTGTTTATTAATGAAATGCCGTAAAAACTTGTACACTCACTTCCATTTTCTACAGGGAGAAAAAATTGTGCATCCCAAATTCACTTGAAACGCAGGAGGAGCTATTTCTTGATCGAGAGATAAACGCCGGAAACTATTGCTGCCCCGGCTACTGTAACTCCAACAGTTGTCAATATCCTGCCCATGGACGCTAAGCTTTTGCGTGTAGGTATGGTCAATAATTCATTTACCTGCAATATTAAATTACAACGGTAAAGATGCATCAGATGATTTCCAACAGCAAGCAGCCAAGGGACTTGGCGAATGATGCAAAAACATGCAATAGATTATTACCAAAAGAAACCCAGCCTAGAGACCCGGCGAATGATGCTGCAATGATAATAGTTACGCCGCCAAGGTCACTTTCGCAAATCCTACAGATACTATGTGCACCAAACTACACTCCACATTCCCGTTGTAGAGAAAAGAACGCAAGTACAAAGAATGGCAACATGCAACTCACACATTACTCACTATCGCAAAGAGAATTTCCATCTTCAAAACTTTCTCAAATGTATATTTCCCGAACAAAGAAACTTAATGAGGAAAGTTCTTGCAGGCCACCAACAAAGCATGGGAACCAGGGGAACATCAAATTGTAACTTCAGCATTGTTTTGACACATTAACACAGAGAAGAAATCTCTAACCTCAACAGGCTGCTTCCAGTATTTCTTTATTCCAGGGATATGCCCCTTTCCAACAACAGCTACAACCGAACTATGCTTGCTAGCAACTCTTAGAAGTGTGGAAGACATGTACCTGAACAGTAACAAGATACAATAAAGTGTCGGCAAGAGTAAAAACAGTTAATGACTTCAATGATACGCATATGCCACATCATGATTCAATAAAAAGCTTCCGCAGATAGCTTTACCATCACGGGAGGGCAACAGCGGAGCTAGAGGAAACTGACAGCACAAGTGCACAACCAAGAAAATGAAATTCTAATGAAAAGTATAATATTTATTCAAACAAAATTGTACGTTGTAGTAGAACAGTAAACATAATTTGCCTGATTATCCAAGTTTGCCGGGTTCAAGGGAAAAGAGAATATTACTACTAGCTAAGTAATATCAAATTCAAGTCTACACAATTGTTATCTCACAACAGGAGGAAAACTGCCGGGGCTAAGAAAACAATATTCTAGCAATTGCATGGGTAGCTTACTAAGATGGTAAAACAGAAAGCATATGATAATGAAAAATGGTTTGATTATACCTTGGTTTGCAGAAATTTAATAATAACAACAACAGAAAAGAACAGCTCTGGTTTGTTGATTATGCGCTCAACACTGAACAGGAAGATCGAAATCAAACATATTATTCTAATTATCAGTGAATGAACTTGTGGATATGGAAAATTCCACATCATCTACAATCTAGATACAAACCCCAAGACCACCAAGAAACAATAAGATCTATTGTTGAAGAACAGCTTTGGTTTGTTGATTATGCGTTCAACACTGAACAGGAAGATCGAAATCAAACATAGTAATCTGATTATCAGTGAATGGACCTGTGGACATCAAAAATTCCGCACCATCTATAGTCTAGATACAAACCCCAATACCGCCAAGAAACAAAGAAGATCAATCGTTGAAGAAAAACTTTGGTTTGTTGATTATGCATTCAACACTTAACAGGAAGATCGAAATCAAACATATTATTCTAATTATCAGTGAATGAACTTGTGGATATGAAAATTTCACACAATCTATAATCTAGATAGAAACCCCAAGACACACCAAGAAACAAAGAAGACCCTTGAACAATTTAAGCTATTAATTAGGCAAACAGTTATCAGTTTCTGTTCCAAATAAATAGATATACAAAAATAGAGGCTGCAAAGATTGGGAGATAAAAGAATCAGAAGATATATAGTAAAATGAGTTCTCCATAATTGAATTACAGAAGAGCTTTTTACCAGCTTACTGACTTCACATCTTTCACCACATCCAATGAAGTATCACAGGATGTGCAATGTTTTAAACACCCAAAATTTGACAAATCACGAAGTTCACGCAAGAACTGGTTTAGGACATTATCAAATCAAAGCAAGGACTGTATCATAGCAAGCAAAAATAGAAGGGCTGATTTCATATCCTCTCCTTTTTTCCTTCAAAGTAATATATGAATTGCACAAATCTAGAATACTAACTTATCTCGCTCTTGCACAAGGGTTTCCATGAGGGTAGGGAATGTTTTGCTCATCTCCTGAACACAAAGAGTTAACACGTCAGCATCATCCATCTCCTTCAGCTGCAAAATAAGCCAGACAAAACGTAAGTTTCAGAAACATCATATGACTCTCATTTAACCAATGTCGTACTGTATCATGCAATGACTACCATTCTAGAGAAATCCTTTGGGCTGGGCAAGGAAACTGCTTGGAAGAGCATAGAAGCAATCAATTTGGTCTTGTGCCAAAGAGGCATTTTTGCCCACGTCCTCCGCAACGTTATCTAAAAAGTATATGAAGCATTAAAAGAAAGCAGTTTCCGCAAACCAAATTTGTCATATCACTAAGTCCATCATAATGGCAAGTAATAAAGAATAAAAAATACATAGGGGGATTGCAGAAAGGGGTGTTAGCATTGGGGTCCTTAGCACAAGCTACAGATTGAGAGTTACAGAAGATGAATACCAACTAGCAATAAGCTATAGACTAAGGGAGATTGGGGTTTCCTCAGATTAGTTGTGAAAAACATCCGTAAAAAATGCTTGAGTATAGCCCAAAAAATTGCACAAGATAAAGTTAACCCGTTAACTCCAAAAATCCATCTCAAAGCAAGTTAAAAATTTTTTTTAAATTACTCGAGCCGAGGAAACTATAATTAAACAAAGGAGTCAGCAAAGTTTGAAGAACTTATTCAGCAGAATAAAGCCATCTTACTTGAACTGGACGATCACCAAGTATAACCTTGCCTCCATATTTCATTGCTTCCTCAAATGCAACACGAAACTCAGCACCCGGAAAAACTTCTAGCTGGCTGGCTACCTAGCAGAATGGACCAAAACGAAGACAAAATAAGTTAGCAGAAGCAGTTTGCGAATTACAAGAAAGATTAACACGCTGCTGGCTGAATTAAAACGTGCCTTTGCTAGAAACCAACTGTAAAGAATTCCAAAGAGGTTATGGTCTTTGCTCCACAATTTCACCATTTCTCCAACAGTTGGTACCTAACAGGCAAACAAGAAAAGTTCCAGGTAAATCTAGACAGTCAAGTAGAACAGGAAGTAACAATAACGAGCTCTAAAGAGGAAAACCATCACAACAAATACAAGCTTGTCAACTCTAGATAAATTGTGACATTCTTATCCATTCCATTTCACCAAGAATGAACAGATATTGAAGAAGCAATTACAATTATGCATTGAACACTTATACGTTGTAACCTAATCAAACTGTGATAATAGTACCATTTCAAGGGAAAAAACAGGCAAATAAGCTTGAAATCAATCAATTTTTTATGGTGCTACTATATGAATATAGAAAGTACCATCTACTAGTTTACAAGAGCGCCATAATATTTTGACATGAAAAATTGAAAACCACAGTTCCACATCAGTAAAATCAACCTTTATAAACAAGCTTGTGGGAAAATGATCACAGCAAATGTCAAACTGTTAATGTACTTCCCCCAACCAAAATATTGAACCAAATAAAATGGGAAGGGAAAGATGGAAAGTAGATCATGTCAACAGCTTCAAGTTCCAGTATCTAAGGGGGAATGTAAATGGCAAGATAACCATCAGGAGCAAATAAAGACCTTACTATTTTTCTTTCCTTTTCTATTAAAGACCTTACTACTTACATGGATGGTAGATATTAAAACCATATTCTGACAAAGCACCAACGAATAAAAACATAAACGAAAAAGAAAAGAACCGAAAAACCAAAGCAACATTCATTGGTACAGAAGAAACAGGTGTTGAGAGTACTTTAACATCGGAGTGGTTTATAAGTTCATCCAGATCATTCATGAGATTTGGGAGCCATTAGAACATCATCAAATGTTTCCAAGAGAGAAATCCAAAAGAATGTCATCTATGAATTATAATCTTGAAATATTTATGTTTAGATTTTATCAAAGTCTATGTGATAGGGATACCTGTAAAATATTCTCCTCCAAAGAGGATACAACAAACTGCATATTGCAGATTTATTCACTGTTATGAACTTACTTTCCAAACAATTACATGCTCTACAACATTGAGAAGTGCGCAAGTCCTTGAACAGGAATATAAAATGGAAGTATCAAATACTCACAGAACATATGAAAAAAAAAAAAAAAACTTTCCAGAGGAAAGGTGGCCCATAACATAATTGCTCCTCTTCCCACCTTCACATCATGTCAGATAGTGCAACCTTCAAAGTTTCGTATTACAACATACTTTTCTCAACAACCATTGGCTACTTTTAAAACTAGAAAATCCATCTTTAAAAGAATACAATTCAAAAATAGAACTATATGTACTGACCTTTAAATTCTGTGGTCGAAGTATAGTTATACGACTCGAGCATAACTCTATGAAAACAACCTGGAAAGTAAAAAGGACATGATGTTATAATTTCAAGAAGCATCAGCACGGAACTATCTGAAAAGAGTAATTAAGATAAGGATGATTCCTCTAAAAGCACAAGCACCTGTGGTTTTAAGAAACTGATCACGGTCTGAACTTCTTCACATGATTCCTGCACAATTGCAAAGAGTTTATCATTATTCCAAGTATTCTGTAATTTCCATTGCATTCTTTTCAAAATCCTAGAAGTAGTTAGTAATACAGTACTGCTACCCGTCCAATAGAAAGAAAAAAGAAAAAAAAAATCCAGGAAACACACCGTTAAGAGCATTTCTTTCGAAATTTAATTAAAAGAATGGAAGTAATATGTTCAAATATAAAGAAGAAAAAGAAAACTGTCAGAAAATTAGGGACCAAGAGGATCTCAATGGGAAAACCTTCTATCTAATCAAAAGAGCTCAACATGAAGCTTTGATGTCATTGTATATCATCTAAGTACTAGACCTCAATTAAGTGGAAGGTCCTAGTGGCAATTTCATTAGTGGTCTTTCCTAGTGATTGTTTGTACACAGACATTGAGCATCTCTCTTATCCAATTCCACCCAAAACGAATGAGATGCGGATTGATGAATCAATTTCCATTGAGGGTTCTTTGGTTACATTCTTAAGGATTTTAAAGATCAGTTGGAAAAATTTCATGGGTTTATTGGATGAAGACTCACCCAAGAAAACACTCCATGTCAAAAGAGCCATCTGCAGCCTTAGAATAATTTGATTATGGCCATTCTGCAAGGTTCTTTTGCAAACCACTAATAATCGACGCACTAACTACGGAAGCACTAAATGTTCTGGTATGTTTCCTATATATAAGCTAATCTATTCTATTCACCGATTTTCCATCAAGGGATGTCCAAATCAAGAGACCGCTTGCAAGGTTTTCAAGTATTTTTTCGGACCAATAAGAGTTACAAATATACTGGTTTAACTAGCCAAAACAGATTGCAGGTTTTTGGTAGACTTAGAAGGGTGTTTCTTGGTTTCTTACAGAACAACAGGTCTGGCACCTCCTACCATACATAACATTCAAACACGAATATTGATAAAAAGATTCATCAATAAAATTTCCAAGTTTATAGATGAAATTTCAATTTAGTTCTCCGGAAACTAATGGAACCTGGCAGATTAGGCACAACAATACTTAAGCATTCCTTCCTTTAAACCAGCAAAATACATTCCTATGCAGTAAGTATCCACTCCAAGAGCTGCTGGAAAAAGAAATGAAAAGCACCGGACAATAGAATAGCCAAACCAGCATGTTAGATATCTTCACCAAGACTGAAGATGGCGAATGGAAAATCAGTCATAAATCAACCCAAACACTTGATTTAGTTTTATTCATTCTTATTCAAAGTCCCAAATTCATTCATTACCACCCAATTTTAAATTTGCAGCAAAATACATATTTCAAATGAGCAAATCATATGCACCATTTAACCTTACATTTTTAGATAGTATAATTAAAAAAAAAAACGAGAAGATTATTTGAAATGATCACCACTAGCAAAACATGAAGATATATGAATATTAAAGGAGTGTGAGTTTGTACATACTGTAGAAACATGAGCCGTGCCAACTAAATAAACATCGCAAATACCCCCTCCGGCAGCCGTGGTATCACAGGTTAGCTTCACAATCCTCCTCGCCAGCTCCTCCGGCAACTCCTTCCTCTCTTCAACGTCCTCCTCTCCTCCTCTAGCAACCCCGCCATCATGTAAAACGGCCGCCTCATCACCACCATCACCATCGGCCTCACCGCCAATACCACTCCTGGATAAGAAATCATCATTCCCCTCACCGCGCCACTCACTTCCAACCATACTCGCTTCCCCAAAAAAGCTGCTATCAGCGCCACCGGCGGCGCCGTCGTCCACATGAACGAAGTCTTCGGTGACAGCACCAACACCTCCTCCGCCTAAACCTTCATCATCAATCGAGGGAGAACTCGAATGATCGGATTCCAAGTCCATTAGACTCTGCTGCCGGCTAGAAAAAGAGGAGGAGAATCGAACGCCGGTGAATACAACGGCGATAGATCGGACCGTTGTATGGAAAGAGCGAAAATGACGAGAAGCAAAAAGGATTGTAAGATTTTAGTTCCCGAGACACGCGAAGCATATATAAATTCTTTCTTTAGAAAATGGGAAAAAACGGGCGGGTCGGAAAATACCGTTAAAAAAATTCCCGACCCGACATCTAGTGAAAGCTAATAAAGGTTGTACTCTGTGCTTTGAAAGTTGTACTAATGAAGGAAAACATATGAGCCATAGCCGACTTCTGGTGCTGTCTTCACACTTGTCAGGTTCATCCATGGCTTCTGAAAAAGAAGCTGCCCAGGCAGCAGCCAACGTACCCGCCGATTCCCCTACTATGTGAGTCAAAAAACCCTTTTAAATTCATCTTACATTCGATTCATTCATCATCACCCCTCTGTTTTTTTTTTCCTGCTTCTTGAATCTTTTGCTGGTGTTTGTGGTTCCAGATTTGACAAGATAATCAAAAAGGAAATACCAGCAAACATTGTTTACGAGGATGACGAGGTATTATTATTACTATGGCCTTTGTGTTATGTATTAGCTCAGTAGTCTCTTTCGGTGTTCATGTTAAGAAGATGACATGGATGATCCCCTTCGGAAGGAGAAACGAATTTGCTGGCAGGGAAAATGTGACCATGAAAAAGAATTGAACCCAGTTAGTTTATAGACTTTTGGGTCAATTTGGTTTGATAGTATTAGTTTCACCACTATTGACTATTGCTTTTAGAAGTTTTTTTCTTTTTTGGTATTTCTACCCCTTTTGTTGTTAAGAAGAGATCATTCTGTGGTTTATTAATTGAAGTATTTTGGTATTTCTATCACTTTTGTTTTTAAAAAGAGATCATTGTATGGTTTATTAATTAGATGGAAAATAGATTTGTTGATGAGTTTGTTGTTCCTATTGATTATTCTATCTGCTGTAGTTGCATTGGTGTAACGGTTGATGTGGTTCCTGGCAGGTTTTGGCTTTTAGAGACATAAGTCCTCAAGCACCTGTACACATTCTTCTTATACCTAAAGTAAAAGATGGCCTAAGCGGAGTCTCAAAGGTGCACTTCGATTTCTAAGTGTAAATGTTTTGATTTGTCTTTTTAACTGTTCTTGGATTGTTAGCTAGTTACAATGTTTTCTAGCACAAGAGAGAAACATACTTTCTAGCTGGTTGTTATCCTTGTCTATGTGATGGTTGCTTCTTCCCTCATTAGAGGGGCGTTGTTCTCAGAGACAAAGAAATTGAGTTTAATCTTTTAATGAAAGAGGCCAGGGAACCAGACAGGTGCATTCTTGTTTTTTAACTGAGGCAATAACTTGTTAAAAACTTGTCTTCAACCGGTGAGTGGTGTTTAAGCAATATGAAATGTATCTTGCTTATTCCATGCATGGGCAGGAACAAAATTAATTGCAATAGTGTCAAATGGATGATTTAGTTCATCAGTTCAAAAACAATAGGCTCGTTTCAAGTTTCATGATACAGAAAGCTAAACATCAAAATAAGTAATGCAACAACCATGGCAAAATGAATCAACGGCAGATATGGTGTGTGGGTGTGTGCGATCTGGAGGAAGAAGTGGCGTGAGATTTTGGGGCAAAGATTAATTCAGTGTACTAACTCTTTGTAACATGTTTTAATCTTCATATGAATTGGGTAATTAAATTGATAGTAGTGATGCCAATAGCTCAATTTGGAAACATTTGCAATATTCTACTCTTTAGAGCAAACAGGTTTCATTTTGATGAAAATAGATGAGAGTAGTTTTTCATTGTTTTGAGTTAGATATGCTTATCTTTCACAGCTTGAAGCTATAGCATAGCCCAGGGGCAGTTTCCTTCAAAGATCTGTAATTCAGCTGAACATAGTATCTTAGAAGAAGAGAAAGAACAAATTGTGTGGGTTCCAATGGATGAGGCCTAGGTTTGTCCTGATTCAATTCAACTAAATATTTTCTTAATAAATAAAATTTTGGATCTTATGCTTTGCATATTTCAGAAATTTAAATTCATGATTGCAATTAGGGTGGTTTTTGAAATTTGGAAATGTACATAGAAGATTGGTTTTCGAATATAACCAAACAGATTGAGATGTACATAGGAGAGTGGTTTTTGACAGAGTTATAACCAAACTTCTGTTCCTTCATTTTTTTTACAATTTTGACTAAATGTGGTATACCTTTGGTACTCCTTGCTATAAGAATTTGTATCATTAGTTGATTGATATAACTAATAGTTTGACACTGATTGAGATGACAAATAACACAGTTACTTGATTTCTGGCTATCAGATTATTATGGCCGTTAGACTAAGACTGACAGAAATCAGTTTCCTTTATCATCTAAGTCCACCTAGTTAGTTGGAAAAATTGGTGGAAGTCTAGTAAAAAATGAGGCTCATATTATATCATTATAATTTCAGTGCATTTCCTTTGGCCAAGTATTTTATCAGAAAAGATATAGCTTCGAAACTAAGAATGACGCTCTTGTCCGAGTTTATAATCAAATAATTCACTTTGCATTAAATTTATTGTTTTCCTGAACTGGTCTCTAACAAGTTGCCAGCTCAGCTAGGGTTTTAATTGGTACCACAAAATTCAAACGTTGGGATAAGAAAACGCATCACAGTTTGAAGAACGGATGATTCATTTTGCTTGTCTTCATGATTTTTGTATGTATTTAAGTATGTCTAGCCAATGGAGCTTATGTTTTTCTCTCTATTTAAAAATAACCAAAAAAAAAAAGAGCCATGTATAACAGTTCATATGAAATTTTTGGTGACAGGCTAAGGAGCGGCATGTCCAGATTCTTGGACGCCTCATGTACACTGCAAAACTTGTTGCGAAACAAGAAGGTCTTGAAGACGGCTTCAGACTTGTCATTAACGATGGGCTGAATGGATGTACGAATTCGTTTGTCTACCTTCCTAATTTTTGGTTCTACTATCACGTGCATTTTATCTGATCAGCGAAGATACTTTTGGCAGGTCAATCTGTTTATCACCTTCACATACACCTTCTTGGAGGACGGCAAATGAATTGGCCACCTGGCTAAAGGGCTTATATGGAAACTACGTGCCTTCATATCTTTGGGCGTTATAAATGGCTGCTCTGTCTAGCCAGAATTTAGTATGTAATTTTCTTGGTAGTTCGCGTTTAAAAGTAACCTTGATTTATTGGTTTGCCATGCTTGGCTATATCGCCTGTGATGATATAATATTGAATTCTCGTATTTTCTGTATCTCAAAATTATTGTTCAGTTTGAGATTTTCATTTCTAGTTCTAATTGCACTAAAAGTGAAATTTCAAATTGGACAATCATTTTGGGATGGAGGTAGTATTTCATTTCTAACAATGGACTGTCAAACAATGGAATATAATCAGTTGAACCAAATTTTTTAGTTGGTTATTGTTCTCGTGTGCATTATTGATGTTGCTAAAGTTTCAAATGGAAAATAATGCAGTCGGCAAATATAGCAGTAAGAATTACCAACTCCCAAGTCAACGAGTCATACCATGTGAATTTTATGTGTGTGAATATTTTGGATAAGGAATTGATGAATTGAAAGTAAATGCTCTTTAAGTACCAATGCCAACTTCTTACGATTTAAAATGTATTTATTTATTTCACTTAATTTTTTTCTTTTTATAACTAAAATTATTTTCCTAATTATTCAAAATTTATTTTAAAAATTTTCTCTTACCTTCACTCCTTTTTCTCCATTGTCGATACTAGTAAATGTTTCGTACATTGCACATATATTGTAAAATGATAAGGAAAAGAATATATGTATAAAAAATATTTAATTTCACGCATGATATTTTTTTATAAAAAAAAATGAAATAACAAAACAAATGTTGTTCCGGTGGGACTAGTGGAGGAATTTATATATAGAAGAGATCAAGAAAGTGGGATAATGTGTCAGCACTAGGAAACTCAACAGTCTTAAGTTTTATGTGTTATCAGAGAATAAAGTAGTAGGGGCAAATTATCTGGTGCACCCGGGGGCACCGTATCCCCTGCAAATTTTCCAAAATGAATTCCAATTGAAGAATTCTGGCCGCCGACGATCCCAGTCGCCACCTCACACATACACTCTCCTCACACACACAGTTTTCTTCTTTAATTAACAGCAATATTATGTGAGGGTTGTCCATGCTATAATTGCTGGTTATTCACTCATTTTATATTGGTTATCCAGAATGTGTAAACTGGTTATCCACAAGTTGTAAACTGGTTATCCAAAAGGTGTAAACTGGTTTATCCACAAGTTATAAACTGGTTATCCAAACTTTGTTTGTGGTTATCCACCTATTTTATACTAGTTATCCACAGGGTGTAAACTTGTTATCCATACTTTTTTTAGATGTGTTTCTATGTAACTACCTGTCTATACAATTTGCTGGTTAATCCACCCATTTCTGGTGCCCCTGCAAATTCCGGCGGTGCAGCCACGACCGCGTTCAATTAAACCCCAAGAATTCCGGCCAATCGATCCCAACCGCCTCCTCACACACACACGAAAAAAGGACGCACCTTATAAAAACCGGCGTGTTCGGCGGGGCGGCGAAGCCGGGGCGGGTTGATGACCTGCGATTCCGGTGGCCGCGGGAGTCGATTCTGGTAGCGGCGGTGCTGAATGAGAAGGCCGAAGAAGAAGAGGCGGTGGATTCTGGTGGATTCTGATTCTGATTTGGGGTGTCGGATTTGTTGACGAAGAAGAAGAGCTGCCGAATTTTGTTGATTCCGATTTAGGGTGCACGGTATTCCCGGGTGCACTGGATACAGACTCGTAGTAGGGCCTAGGTATGTTGAGACATAGGATCAACAGGAGGAGCAAAGGGAAGTGCCAAAGAAACCAGTCCCAGGTAAAATATGACAAGTTTATTATCTTGGAATATCAGAGGTCTAAACAGCCTCTGCAAGCAAAGGGAAGTAGCTAATTTAGTAGCAATATATAAGATTGAAGTAATTTGTTTATTGGAAACTGAGTTGGCATAATGTAAAGGGGAACAATACATAAAAAGAAGATGATCAAGTTATTAGTATTATATTAACTATGATCATAATCCTAGAGGAAGAGTTTGTTTACTATGGAGAAAGGAGAACATTATCATGTCTATATTAAGTGCTACAGATCAATTAGGGCATTGTAAGGTTTGCACTAGTAAAAATAGCTGGTTTTATCTTATTGTTTTCTATGTTAGTAACAGTCTATCAGAGAGGTCTCAACTTTGCGAAGATCTAATTACCCTAGCTGATAGCATTAGAGGTGCCTGGTTGATCACTGAAGATTTTAATAATGTATTAAGGCAGGATGAGAGAGTTGGGGGTAATCCAGTAATCTTAGTAGAAACTCAAGAATTTCAAAGGTGTGTGGATATCATTGAATTGCAAGACATGAAGCAGCATGGTCATCTGTTCACTTGGAGTAACAAGCAAATTGGAGATGCAAAAATTATATTCAGAATTGATAGAGCATTTGTTAATCTAGATTGGATTTTACAGTATGAAAGGTCAATAGCCAATGTATTGGCAGAGGGAGTTTCGGACCATACTCCCTTTATAATTCAGACGGACACACAAGTTAGATATCTTCCCAAACCATTTAAATATTTTAATATGTTGTGCTTGGACAACACCTTCTTCAATCTTGTTAGTACTAGTTTGGAGCCGCAACTGAAAGAAACAAGAATGTTTTAACTCACTCAAAAGTTGAAAAGGTTACAGCCAGTTCTATGAAGGTCGAATAAGTAGAAGTTTTTGGATATACAAAAAAGAACACAAGAGGCTTTTCAGAAGTTAGTAGAAGTTTTTGGATATCATAGGAGGCCTGGTAATAGGGCTGGCAATCTCCCACACGACCCAAAATTTCGACACAAACCCGACACGAAATAAGCGGAGTAGGGTTAGGGTGACTCGTTTATTACATGTCGGGTTCGGGTCAACCCGCCAGATTATCTGGATTCCCCACTTAAATGTAAGGCCTCTTCATTCCGAAAACAGCTCTCGTCCCTCTCACTTATGTAATTTTTATGGGCAATTTTGGAAGTATATGTCAAACTTTTAACCTTTTTTCTACGCCGATTCACATTTAGAGTTCACTTTCACTCTGTCTCTCCGACTTCAAGTTCATCAGAGCTCAGATTAGCGGCGGCCGACCAAAAAAAAAATGAAAACACCCAAAATCCTCCCAATCTTTATTCCACTTCATCAAAATATTTTGGATCTGGCTCATCCTTTTTACTGATGTTCAATTAATTCTTTTTCATTGACTACAATGTCCGAAATTTCTTAAAACGCCGTCAGCCATCGGTCACTTTCTTCTCCTCAGTCAGGTCACGGGACCCCGAAAATGCTTCGGTCGAGGGTTCTTCAGGCGTCGATCAATCTATCATTGTTTGATTTTTTGTTTTGTTTTCCCTACTTTGGTGAAAAGTCCGAGCTCGGTTATTAGTTAAGATAGAGTACTAGATTTTTGTTAAATTTCTTTTTTTGTTTGAATTTTTTTGGTCTCATATTTTTTTCTTTTGTTGGAAAGAAGTCTAGGTTGAATTCCCAAATTATTCATTCTATTCCTGTCACTCAGAAAAAATAAAGATTCTGGCTTTTTATTGTTTTGATATGATGTTGATTGTTTTGGGTCATTTGGCTTTAAATTGTTTATGGAGTTCAAGTAGATGTGCTAATAATATTTTGGATTCTGATTATTTGGTTTTTAGACTTTGGTAAACTAAAAAGCAAAATGATGTTTAACTTTTTAGATCTGGTGATAGTATTAGATGTAGAATCAGTTCTAAAAAGATGTTAATCTTCCTGAATCATTCATCTGTTTTTTTTTTCAAACAGTTAGCTTGGTGATATGAAACAAAGATGCTAGTCTTCCTGAATCATGAAGTTTCACTACTTCTTCATGTGTATTTTTGCGCTCTTTTTTCTGGCAGCATGTGATTTACAATCAATTTGAAGAATGAATTGAAATTTCTGTAATCAGAATTTTCTTTTTTCGAATTAGCAGCTCGGGTCACGGGTGACCTGAATATTTTCAGATCAGGTTAGGGTTGAGTAAAGTGACCTATTTATTTATTCAGGTGGGGTTCGTGTTGGTTATATTTTTTCTTTTTGGGTTCGGGTTTAACCCGACACGCCAACCCGAACTTGACACGGATTGCCGGCCCTATCTGGTGATGTGATAGCACAGACAGAAGAAAGGAAAAGGAACCAAGAATATTTCCATTTAGTCAAAGCCTTAGAGTCAAAAAGCTAAGCCTGGATTCAACAGGGAGATAGCAATACGACATTTTTTTCATGCCAAGGTAAAACAGTGTAATGTCAAGAATAGGATCTGGTCATATATGGAAGATGATGGTACTCTGAAAACTGAGTAGAAGGAAGTGGAAGACCATTTTTTATCCTTTTTTTTCTTTTTTCAGAAGCAGCTTGGTCAGAAGATTCAGAGAGTCAAATTAGACATCAGAATATTTCAGCACGGCTCTAAGCTTTCAGTAAGCTAGCAGCTGGATCTTATAAGATCAATATCAGCTAATGAAATTAAGAGAGCATTATGGAGCGTTGATGGAAACAAAAGTCCAGGCCCAAATGGTTTTCCTAGTGATTTCTTCCAGAAAACTTGGAAAATCACTGGAATTGAGGTTATAGAAACAGTTCAGGAATTCTTCTCAACAGGGTGCATGTTAAAGCAGTTGAATTAAACCTTGCTAGCTCTCATCCCTAAGAACGATGCTCCACAGAATGCAAGGGAATATATGCCCATTGCTCATTACAATGCGGTCTATAAATGCATATCCAAGGTTCTTTGTGAAAGGATGAAAGATGTTTTAGTTGATTTAGTGAATGAGAACCAGAGTGCCTTTATAAAGGACAAATTTCTACTGCACATGTTCTTATAGTGCAGGTATTGGTAAGATTGTACAGGAGAAGGAACATCTCTGGCAGAGTGCTGATGAAAATTGACATTAATAAGGCCTTTGATACAGTTGAATGGGAGTTTATTGAAGAAATGCAGCATGGTTATGGGTTTCTTGGAGAGTTTA